TATATATATTGTAGTGTGATCGCATACCGTCGTATGCATCCACTTTGAAGTGCGACAGAATTATGCTAAATTTGCACAATTCTGTAACAAAAAAAAAAAGTAAAAGAAAAATTTTGTCGCACTTCAACTGGCTGGGTATTGCATTACGAAATGGGTATTGCAATACGATGCCAGGCGTCCCAAGTAAAACAATTACTATTTGTTTACGTTAGCATAATTTAGTGTAATAATTCATGTATAAATAGCCAGGTAAGAATTGAATAAAAATCAATTGTTTGACAGCAATTCAATCAAGCGTATTAACTCGCTGTTTTATTAAAGGCGTTAAATCCGCCTAAGCTTAAAGTTAGGGAACGTCTCTTGCCGAGCTTCATTGGCACTAAATGAGACGGCTAGACTTGGCGTACAGAAGCCGAGCAGCTTAGGACTAAACTGCGGTACACTTAATATAAACTAAAACATCATCATTGACATTACACCGCATCAATCTATTATTTTTACACGGCGATCCTGCCCATTGTCGCATTAGAGCATCGCTACATGACGATTCTGCGACCGATCCTGATCTGATCCTGCCAACTCTTAGACTATATCATTAATGACGATCCTGCTCCGATCCTGCCCAACACGATCCTGTAATCGATCCTGCGGTAACCTGCTATATTTCCAAAATTTTTCCACGCTCGATCCTGCCCATTGTCGCATTAGCGCATCGTCAATTCCTTTACATTTTGATCCTGCGGCCGACCTCGCCCATTTCGATCCAGACTTGAATGACAGCCATAATTACTAAGGCAACCAAAATTTTCAACCGCTGATGCACTATTTTTTCTCCAATACCATTCTACCATGTCTTTGTAGTTGCCAGTGAAAGTGGGTATGGATTTGGAAGCTATTTCTAAATTGAAATCCATTTTTGATTCTATTGTATTGTCCGTTTTACTGGGGTTTATGTCTTTTAGTGATTCTTTGGTAGCTTCGATTTCTAACAGTTCTTTTGCTGTGTTATATTTTTTTTTTAAATGCTTCCATTTTACTCACTAGGTTTGGTTGCTCAGGTTTAGTGTTAGCTTCTAATATGTTACGAACTCTGGTTCTATAATTTTCTAATTTTTCAAGTTTATTTTCGATTGTTTCCTTTTTGTATGTTTTATTTCCTAACTTTCTGAGGTTGGAAATTATTCTGTCTATGGAAATATTAATTTTGTTTATTCTTTCCATTAAAATATACGTATTTATATTTGAATGTATGTATTAATTTTTTTTTTTGTATTTTTATAAAATCATTGTTGAGCTTAGCTTGGTAAGATTTTCAAAAAAAAATGTTTATTTTACTGGTTATTGCTGGTTTTCCTTTCCTGGAACCATCTTTATAAATGTATAAAATTATTCTTGAACTTAGCTTGGTAGGAAAAATTTTGGGAATAATGTTTTGTATTAGACGTTCAGTGTGTCGGTGGATTGTTTTGTGTATTTCTTTTTTAATTGTTTTTTGTGTAATAGATGTAGGGTCATTAAAAAGTGAATGGCGCTTAAGATTATTGATATTGTTGCTAAATATATAATAAGTTGGAGTTGAGACGCATGGTCGTTTATTTCGACGTTGTTAACGACGTTAGCGTTGGGATTGTCGATTTTGGCTTGTTTGGTTCCCATTATAAGTGGAAATTTGCAGGAACGATTGTATTGGGCGGGATGAGGGCTTGGTAGAATGGTATTGGAGAAAAAATAGTGCCTCAGCGGTTGAAAATTTTTGGTTACCTTAGTAATTATGGCTGTCATTCAAGGCTGGATCGAAATGGGCGTATTGAAACCGAACAGCTTAGGACTAAACTGCGGTACACTTAATATAAACTAAAACATCATCATTTACATTACACCGCATCAATCTATTATTTCTACAATATATATATATATATATATATATAAAAGAAATTGTTTTTCTTTTTAATGGTTTTAATGGTTTTCTGATTGTTTCCGATTCTTTTTCCTTGACTTGGTCGCTTTTGCTCTTCTATCATCACCTCTAGATGTTTAGGTTTTTGGAAAATAAGCAAACTAAACTTATTCAATTTTACAAGTATGGGATGAAATCATACCTCGCGCTTCAAAAAACGTTAATTTTCTTAAGAATATGACTGCCGTTAAGCAATTGGCCGTGTGTAAGGTCGGATTTATTTAGATAAGTTAAATGTTAAAAAATAACATCAAAAAATATCAAAATAATGTAAAATAGCAAACAAACGAATCCACATTAATAAAATCTGTCATCGTAATTTAAAATATAACTAAACAAATAAAATTATAATTATAAAATGTAAATAAATAAAATTATTGCATTATTGCACTTTTGGCGATACCACTGTTTTTACATTTCGCCTACGGAGAAACGGACATTAAGCATATAAGCCCGGTCTTCCACCTTGAGGTTAGATTCCCTGTTGAAAGCCAAAGCACAGAGTCGCTAATAATAAATAAATGGTTAAATGCCCAACTTAACAACTTAATTGACAAAAGAGATTCAATTCTGCTAAATAACAGATCGAAGGGATTCGATTCTGTTAAATAACAGACCAAATGGATTCGATTCTGTTCAATAACAGATCAAAGGGATTCAATTCCGTTAAATAACATACCAAAGGGATTCGATTCTGTTAAATCACAGATCAGGGGGATTCGATTCTGTTAAATGCAAAGCCGTCGGTAAAACAAAGGAAAACTTCATTTTCATTTTCTTCATTTAATTTTGAATAAAACCTTTGCGCCAAATCAAGTCAATAGACAGAAAAATCCCTGACAGACAGGTTTAAATATGCTCAAAATAAGGATTGAAGTATAGTCAATGAAATGCCGACGGCAATTTTCATTTTGCAACGAATATGTTTAAAACAGATTTTTTCACTTATAAAGCTGCATTTAACAGATTTTTTCACTTATAAAGCTAAAGATTATTTTAGTAATAGTACGCAAGTAAATTTCGGATTAAGAGACAACGAATTTAGAATATTATTGATAATGTTTAAAAAAAATATTCATTAAAAACTTAATAGTGATCACGTAAGAATATATTGACGCTGTTGCTTGTGTGCGTGTAAATTAAGTAAGAAAAACGAAGTCAAAATAAATAGTGTGTGAACATTTCAAATAAGAATGTAATAAAAATATTGGAAAGTTAGCAAAAAACAAGAAATAAGAAGAAGAATTAAAGTGGTGGTGCACTTTGCTGACAAATCTTTTCTTTCATGCAAGGATAAAAGCTTTGAAAGATACCATATCGCAATACAATGTGTGAGTAGGAAATTCGAAATATTGGTAACTCTAATGGCGGCCGCCAACAAATCTGGCAATGCGAATTTGTTTTTTTTTCGCATTTAACAAAACAGCTGAGCATTTTCTTATACGCTATATTTGGCAATAAATAAACCGATTGCCTTCTCATATATGTATGGGGGAATATCGAATAAAAAAAATTACTAAAGAAATATAAAAAAGGGGTAGAATACATCTACGAAAAATAATTCTCCAAAATATGTCTAACAGTGTCTTGCCCAGGGAAGCAGTTCATGTCAAAGTGAAGGCAAGCATGGCAGAGAGAAGTATTTAAAATTCTTTTATTCAAATTTATGTAATTTTTTCTTCTAGAAATGTGAAATAAATACTCCACCAGAATGGCGGAAATTTAGCGTAGATCCGCAAATCATCTCGCTGGAGGTTTTATATTCATTGCTTGCTAAAGCATTTGATATAAAGTCTGATTTTTCCATTAAGTATAAAGCGTACAATCCAGCAGGTAATGAAATTTATCTCTCAGTGCTATCCGATTGGGATTTAGATGCGGCTTTCTTACGTATACATAATATTTCCATTCAGACATCAACGGAGCCTTGCCTTACTTTGCAAATGGATATAAAGCCACATACGAGCGTGAAAGAATGCGATTCCAATTGTGCGACTACACCTAACACTTTAGCCAATTCTGGGAATACCGCTGCAACAGCATTGGCGGGTAGTTCAGCTGCCAGGGATTTGATGTCGCCTCTGCAGCAATCTTTGGGTGCCTCCCAGAAATATATGCAACAAATGCAAAATAAATTGCCCGGTCTCATTATGAACCAAATGGGTAAAACATTTTCCATGGTACAAAAAGCTTTTAATTTGTCAGAGGAAACAATAGCTGCTATACCGCCACGTCCGCCTTTGTGTTGTTAGATGCTTTGGGTCAGATACAAAGAAGTGATGAGTTGCGTAAAGTGATATTCTTTGGCGGTGTTGATCCCAGTCTCAGGCGAGTGGTGTGGAAACACATTCTCAACGTATATCCAAGTGCAACGTATGAATTATATGCGTCGCAAGTCTGAATATTACTATAAACTGCGAGACACTTGGAAAGCAGGCGTTAAAAACGGTGCGTCAAAAATATTATTTAATTCAATAAATATTTTATATAATTTCAAACTCTCTATTAGGTTGTATGGCTACTGGCGAATTAGCTTATGTAACTAGTATGGTCAAAAAGGATGTTTTAAGAACCGATCATTTGCATCCATTCTACGCCAGCAACGACGACGACCAGAACATTGCATCGCTTTTCAATATACTTACTACATATGCGCTTAATCATCCTTCAGTAAGCTATTGTCAGGGCATGTCTGATATCGCCTCACCTTTATTAGTCACCATGAATGATGAAGCACAAGCTTACATTTGCTTTTGGGCGATAATGAGTCGTGTGAAGGGTAATTTTATGTTGAATGGAATCGCAATGACGCAGAAATTTGCTCATCTAACTGAAGCATTGAGTTACTATGACGCAGAATTTTGGGAATACCTCAAATCGCTCACGGCATTCGGAATAGCGCGCTACATCCCTGAGCAGCTGAATTTCCGTCACTGCTTGCGTGACATGACGGAAGAGAAGGACAATTTTTGCGAAGAGGTGATGGGTCGGAAAGTAGCAAAGGACCCCGTAAATAACTTGACACTTACCAGCAAGTATCTTAAGCCGGCGTTCTCGAAAGTCGACGGGACGTTCGACCAAGCCTATGATGTGTTTTACTCAGCAATGGACCAGCACATGGTGCGGGATGATGCACCGAATTAAGTTACTGGGATTCATACTGTTTACGCTGCTAACAGGCAAAAACATCAGGGGGTCAATTGATCGGAACGCGTCTGCATTCTAAGGTAATTACAACATTATATGAATTCACTAATAAATTACTCTCTTACGTTCTCATTTTTTAGTTTGGATTAAAAAGTTCCATCCACACACTTACATTTATGGAAAATCGTGCGAGAAAAGCAGCAAAGTAAAGATAATTGAAATGTTTAATAAATATATTAATAAATTACTTATTTACGTTCTCGTTTTTTACTTTAGATTTAAACAGCGCCGCCGTCCACCGCCTCATATAGATGAAGGTTCACTGCATGCCAAAGGTAAGTTTGCATTTACCCTTTCTTATTATTATGTATGCTTTTATTTCATTTTAGATTAAAAAAAAAAAAAACATACGCACTATCGCTTCAGCAGAATGCCAAAGGGTAAGTTTGTGATCATCTTTATATATGAATGTAGTAATTAAATTATTTTACCTTTGCAGATATCAACAACCGTTCAACACAGCACCACTGTCAAGCAGCATACTGCCGTATATTTATTTAATAATCTTATCTTATCTATATTATTTGCATTTATATTATGTATTTATATTATATTAATAAGCGGGGATTTATTTGTTATTGTAAATATTATTATAGTTTTAAGTTTACAATGGTGTAAGCCTAAAGGGGAGCCAGCTATTTAAAACAATTGGCAACGCGCCTATCACGGCACCTCAAGGGTGGTGTGGAAAACAGTGCCAGGAAGCCGATAAGGAGCCAACTTTGGACAATGGGTGCTGACCATCTAGCAGCTGGCAGTGTGAATGTCACAAATGAAATTCAAATTTTATGAGCGGCAACACCCCAAGAACATCGTTACCGCCCACTATGCGCCAACAACAACGTACTTTTTGCATACGACGCCCTTGCGTACATTATCAACTAGAACTTGTTACTCTGTCCGATATGCTCATCATTACACATTGTTCCTTCTAATTTATTTCCATCGAAGACTTCTGCTTTAGGCATCTATCAGATTTTTGCAACTGCACCGACAAATTTTGCTTATTACCAAATTACGTTAAACTAAAAGACGTGGATTAGATAGCATATATTTTTATTTTATTTTTTTATTTATTTATTTTTTTTTGAATACAAACAAAATTTTATAAATATTTATCAGAAACGATAACAGAAAAGCCATATTTAGAGAACACTTATGATTTTAACACTGCCCTGTCGCCATTAAGATTAATTATTGTGTTTTTCCATTGTCAGACAGTAGAGGCTCAGATGACTAATTATCGTCCCTCTATGAAATGACACTTACATATTTATCAAGTACAGTTGTATTCTAAATACGTATATCACATTAAAGGATTAAAAGAAATCACACAGAGAGTAACCACATTTGCCTATAAGAGACCAATGAACATGGACACTCTTGTCACTTATTATTTGTTAACAAATCTTAAAATACATACATACACAGTTAAACTGAGATAATTTTAAAAATATGTCTGGAAAACAATTTTTTTAAGTTTGTTTTTATGAAGCTTGTTGTCCTGAAATGTTTGTATAAATATACTCCAGATTTTATTAGAATTGACATTACTACTTGGGAAAATGGCAACAAGCAGGTCATATAATCATTTTAGAGTTTTGAAGAGGACATTCTCTGAAGATACAGAGGAAAACCTAGATCGAATTACTATGTTCCCAGATCTATAAATAAACGGCTGCGAGGAATAAACTCGTCAGCCGAAGGATTCAGCAACGAATTGACGGCCAGTGTGTTTCTACTAGTAACTGAAATTGAAGAGAGTGCCGCATTCAGTTTATCATTCCTGGCTTTCTGCCACTCACATAGTTGTGTTTCCAATTCGTCTTCCAACATGGCGTCTATGCGCTCTTTCATCAATTCCTCTTCTTCAAGACGCTGTAATTCCTTAAAAGAGAATTTAATGCAACAATACGCCTTTTTAAAAATGGAATAGCTTCCTTACTATTTTGTCGAACTCTTCTTCGTTTTCCATCCATAAGTACTCAGAGAAATCTTGTTCATCATCTAAATCATTATCAGATTCGTCTTCCACTACATATTGTTCGAATTGGTCACACCAATCGCTTGAAGGAGCTTTCATAATCATTTTAAAGAGTGAAAATTCTTGTTTAAGTTGCGTTATTAATAAACTGAAGCGAAAAGAATTTTTATATATGAATTTTTTATTTTATTCGAACTTTTTTGTTTATTTGACTCCATTAGACGATCAATAAATCGATCTAAGTTTAATTAATAAATTGGTCGATATCTGATCGTCAGGAAACATATTCATAATCTTTATTTTTGATTTACTCAAAACATTCTAATGGGACCCTACATAACTTAGCAGCGATTTTCTCGAGATGTGATGGCCACTGGCTATTATCAAAGAAGAAGTGCGCTTGGTATAGGACAAAGTAATAATTATTAGCAAAATGAACAATTCTTTCATTAAAACAATCGGAATTCATTACGTAATATCATCCGCCTGAGTGACCGATGAGGCAAAGGATCTCTACTAACAACTGAATGGTCGTGAGTTCAAATCTCAAGTGTCCAAGTCCGATAGCTTTAGGCGCTAGTGCTTTAGAAGTTCAGTCTTAGAATTTATTCTTGGGTTAAATTAATCGAATTGTATACCAATGCGCAGTAAGAGAAGAAAAGTTATTATAGTATACAATGCAAAAGTAGAAAACTATGAATGAACAATTCAGAACTTAATTATGATTAAGAATATATATGCTTCGTAGAGCTCCTGATTCTTCCTTCTAGGTGTTGCAAACGTTAGCCATAAATTCCGGAAATATGTATATTGAATGTATAACCAAACCAAATAAAACGTATGCATGAAAGGTTTAACATATATGGAACTACTGTTCTTTAAATTTTAATACTGTGGAGCAAAGCGGCTAGCGTAGGATACATCCGGGCAGCATTAAATGTCCTACGAGGAGTACAAGTGCAAAGGAGTTTCAAGGGGTTTTTAAAAGAAATATAATATATGAGCTGTATTCTGCGCCATTCTTATTTCATCCGACATTTAAGGAGTATTTATGCAAAAACCATCTTAATGTTCATTTTCTGTAGAGGGCAAGCCAAAGCACAAGCTATTTCTTAAAATTTTAAAGAACGTTCTCGATTATTATTATTTTATTTATTATGTCATTGTAATTATTTACCGTTCATAAAAATAAAGTTTACACCAAAGAATGTTTGAATAAATTTCTTTACATGTATTGTGGGACTTTAGAGAATAAGCGTATACAATTATCAAGAATTTTGCATGTATTGTGTGACTTTAAGGAATAAGCGCATATTCGTTCTCAATAATTCAACAGGTCTCTTTATAAAAAAGCCATCGATGCGAAATTAATGTGTATATGTTCTCAGTAATTTGTATAAAAATTCCATACAATTGAGAAAATAAAAATTGTTTACAATTGAGAATGGGAAAAAGATGGATATTATGTTGAGCAAGATTTTAGTTTCCATGTAGTTTCTATTCTAAACTAAGTAACACACAATTACATTTAACATGCTCACTCCAGTTATTACGGCCGCTCTTTTTTTTTTGTTACGTTTTATACATAATCGTGACTAAAATTACAACAATTTGGACATATAAGCCACAAATCTATTGGCTTAGTCCATCTCCATTCAACAAACCAAAAAAAGAAGAAAATGTCTAAACCATAATGCATTTCTGAGAGAACAAGTCTCACGTGTCCAAAAACCCGAGAGTAGATGTAATAACATTTGCCGACATAACTCACTCTACTTGCGTTACATTCCCTTACATATATATGTAGGATGGGATGTTCCACTATACTCCATACCCCATTTTTGTATTTTTCCAACAAGGACTCATTGAGCGGCTGAAACTGTGCTGGAGTTTTATGATGAAACTAGATCTAAGATAATGATTTTATATACAAACGCTCTTTTTATTTGAAATATTTTTAATTTTTCTCAATTTTTCACTCAATTAATATTTTGAGTTTCTTTTCTTTCATTTTTTTCGCAATTATTCAATTCCTACAACTGCTTTGTCCATTAAATTAATTTTATAACGGAGAAAGAGACATTAAGCATATAAGCACG